AAAAAAAAACGAAATTCTAGTATATTAAAAAATGGCGAACAAAGCGGATAATGCAATAATGAAAGTAGGATAAAAAAAGTAACGAAGTTACGCGTATGATATATAATTAATTTATTAAGAAATAGTAAAATATTAAAAATAGTAAAATGCAACATAAAACTTAGTATAAAAAAAAGAAATTAGTATGATCAACGAAAGAATATAGTTCTTAAAAAGCGAAAAAAAAACGAGAGCGAAAAAAAATGCCTTTAGCCGTTCACGTATCATTCCGAACAATACATGAACGTTCATCTAATTGCCGAACTACAGCTACGTATATTGCAAATCCGGGTTCTACCTTTGCAATTGTCTCTGTGTTCGTAGAAATACGACTTTTCGAAGGGAAATGTCACCTGCCCACCCGCTCTATTTAACCAAGGTTTTCTAGGCCTTTGGTTTCCAAGCCGCATAATCGTCGGTCGAACTGATCGCCTTAGCTGCCATTATGAATTATGGTGAAAAGTCGTATCCTATTATTAATTAATAAATAAGATCAATTAGATGAAGCCGCGAATTGAGCACTAAGCAATGACGTTCCGGCGGGAATGAGAACGCCATTAATACGCGTAAGAAAAAACGAAAGAAAATAAAATAGAAAAGTACAATATTAAAATCGATAAAACTAAATTCATTATTGCATCACCCTACTGAAAAAACACGAAAATACACGACATTACAATAAAAAAAAACGAATAAAAAACATACTAATACTACAAACCAATTACATAATACAAATGTGTTACACAACCCTCCAGCTGGTCAGATACAATTAGCATGTCTACGATGTAACGATTAAGAGAAAAAAAAAGTTACAATAAACTCGAAAATAACATTAACATCTTGGTTCGGCACTTTCCGCCTGCTATTACAATTTTTTTTTAAAACTCTTTGCGTTCTCTACGCAATTTTTTTTTCCACATACGCGGCCTTTGCGCCCCTTGTTACCGCGCGTTTCCTCGAAAATTCACTTCATTTTCAGATCATAGACATGCTAACTACTATTCCCTCCGTGCACGCCTTAATAAAAATATAACTAAGATCATAGTGTTCAGACAAAATACTTTAATCTAAAAGATTTGCTAACTCCTATTTGATGGATTTCCGTGGTAAAAATATCTTTCGCAGATTTTGTTTTTTTTTTTTCATCTAAAAGAAACAAAACTGACGTAAATATATTATTTCGATTATAAAAGCGAAATTTACTGACAAATTTACCGACAAATCAGAATTTATAAACATTAACATATTCCTATCAGAATCCTTGCTAACGTATATACTAATAACCTAATATAAAGTATATAATAAAAAAGAAAGAAGTGTATCACACTAACACTATGTATTTACTAACATCTTAAATGTTATATATTATCCTAACTATCCTATCTCTATAATGTTTTAATCTAAGTAATTCTGTCTCATTCGCAATTCATATCAAAAAAATTATGTAATTACAGGGTTCATCAAAAATCGCGAACAAGATTAACGAAACACAAACAACACGACAATCAATAAGAAAAATAAAAAATAAAAACAACTAAATACTATTTGCGGTTATCTGTACTTCTTAATTATAATTATATTATTTAGTATAAGAAATAGAATATACGAAAAGTGAAAGTTTTTTTTTGAATATGGATTATTTCAAGTATGCGACTGGCGCCGCAAACTGTGCCAAAAAAACTTAACGGGTCCGTCGCGTTGCGTACGGCACTACGGCACCCCGTCGATAGGGTCGAAAATTGTCAAGTGCTGAGGCATAACAGAGACGTTGGGATTGTCAAAAAAAAGACAATATATTTAAGATCTGTATATAAACATATCAATGAAAAAAAACAGACTAGGGATTACTGAAACATAATATTTGCCTATTAACTGTTTTCGAAGACAGAAAAAATACGATTTGTGTGTGGCATAGGGTCAAGTGTACGGAACTTGAGATTTACGAAGAAAACGAAATATATTTTGTTGGGCAATGTGTTTCAAATCTTACGAACTAAACTATCAAAACAAAATACTTGAAACGACTAAAAAACTGTTTGACGATTTATATATGACTTTACGGAAATTGAAATTGATATGAATGTTTTTTTTGACCGAGTTTTTCTTCTACACCCAGGGGAAACAAAATGGACCAAAACACAACAAGTAAATAAATCCCCTTTTAAAATAAAACTAATTGCATTTTTTTGTAATATTATATCCAGAAAAAAAAAGAAGAAAAAATAGAATGAGCGCACACAACAATCAAATGAAATCTGATTTTACAAATAAAAATAATACTTTGAACATTTTTTGTAATGTTATAAACATAATAGGTTAAATAAATATGAGTTTAATAATTTTAAATAAGTTAAATAACTTTAAATTCGAAAATTTTATTTACTTTTTAGGATTAATCTTAACAAATATTAGGTAACAAATTATTGACGCAAACCGCAGCCAAAACAATAGATTTGGTTAAATAAAATTAAACTAGATTATTACATATTCCATACTCAAAACATTAAACAAATAAAAATCACTTATATTTTCAACGTAGTAAAATTCTACTAACAATAAAAACTACTACGTCACCGCGAAAAGTACACAATAAAAATACACAGATAAACACAAATAGTAATACACATAAAGAATACAATTTTAATTTCAACAATATTTACGCAATAATTAATTTTTAGATTTACTAAATTTACCGAAACACGTACTATTACAAACAAAACATCTATCATAAATATTAACTTAACTTACACACGTAACTAGTGGGAGCGACTCGCTTAGCTTTTAATAAAAATAATTAATTATTAAAATTATTAAAAATTTGTGAGGGGGGGTTTTTGGGGGATCGAATGCGTTTTCACCATTGTGACGGATTGGGGTTGATGCTCCCCTTTCTTAGGGTATATGCAACGACTGCCTAATATTACATCTAGCGTTGCATCCCCAACGAAAGGGTTACACCAACTCCTTAACCCGGCTTCTATAACCACCCTGTAATTACCTGTGGAAAAGCCAACTAACTACGCGAATGAAACAGAATGTACTTTTAACTTATTTAATTATTACTAATTATTACAGGTGTCACGGCATGACAATACCTACGTACTGTCATGCCCTTTGCCTAAAACCTAACGTATTCATAAATCTTTATTAATTACTAACGTAAAACGGTATCAACGGAGTAACTATAACGACGGATAACGGAGGAAATAGCTTTTAAAACAATAATACATCTGACCTTTACTGGAACGGGTTCTCCTCTCCTGGCACAACACACACACCACTATACACAAAGTGGGTCCAGCGACTAGCGCGTGGACCCGACCGAACTCCTCAGAGGAGGTTACAATTCTTAATGCTCTTTTTCAACCCCAGACTGGACCTTATATTGGCATCCCTATTGGGCGTGGTGGGGGAGCATCATTGCACTGGTGGTTATGCAACCCTTTTGACGACAATACCGATTGTCGTTACAATATGCTTATTCAAATTATGTATCTGCTGAAAACCAGTTGCTACTTTTTGCATATTTAAAATGCGTTTATCTCGAAAACTATTGGAACTGCGACCGAAATATTTTGATAGCATTTTTCTAAGATCGTAAAGGACCAACCTTGTGAAGATGATCAAAATCTGCAACAAATATTTTCCGACGAAAATCGCAAAAATATTCCTTACCAGGGGATCATGGTATGGTTTCGTTAGATAACAATTTTCTCATAAGTGTATCTTTTTGATGTTTCATACATGACACATACATGAAGTTAGATTTTATGTATCAAACGCCTAGTCTCACAGCAAATACATAGCTTTTTGACAGATTGTTACTACTAATTTATACGAAGATGGATCCGCAGCATAGTGTTACCACAACATTTCTATTTTATCGGAGAATTGATCCCTTAATCACGTAAATTAATCTAAAAAAAGAGTGCGCGTAAGGTTCACACGCGATTGAAGTAAAACTTATTTGCTGCTGTACAAGATGGCATTTAAGTAAAAATAAATACATCATAAAACAATTTTGAATAATGTTTATTAGTAATATGGTAACATTCGTCATGCGCATATTTATTAGTATCAACCATTATACACATTTATATAATGAAAAATTATAAATTATATATTTATAATAGCATTAAAAATATGTATAATATTTAAAAACAATAATGTACTTAAAGTCATACTTCAAATATGATATGATCGGTTTGTCATTGTAATTAGCATTTAGAAATGAACCTTCTTAAAGAAATGAAGTAATTGCTGATTAAAAATTCTATAATATTCGTTCACACAGTGAATTATGTGAAACAACGCCTAAACAAATATTGTTTTCGCAACTTCACTCATCATGTAATTGTGTTCGAAGAACTTCATGTAATTAAAATTAATATACATTCATTGACTGCTTGTATTTTTTTACTTTTTCGCTGGCGATACAATCTTATTCTTTGAACAGCTGTAATATCTGTCTTTCCTAAAAAATATATTTTATTTTAATAACTTCAAAGATTTATAGAAACTACGAATAATATAGAAATAATTTTTAATCAATAAACTTACGGCAAAAATATTTATTTTGTTTTATTATTTTCAAGGAACCGGGTAAAATATTCTTCTGATTCTGGCATTTTTCATTAAATCAAGATTTGTACTGAGATGTAACTTTAAAATTTATTTATGCCGATTTCCTTGTTGATATCGGTACGCGTACAACGTTGACGCCGGTACGCATACAACGACAGATCTCTTTTCACATACACGCCTAATAACAATCGACCCGTATAGAAATAGTATCATCGAGAGCGAATGACAAATCATTGGCACTCGACTCTTATCTTATCTGCCGTAACGCACTTCTGTTGCATTTGTACCGATTTGCACACTAGTCGCGCCTAAAGAAGTTTTACTTCAAAATTTGTAGTGTTTTATTCAGAATTAATAATTTTTACAATATTTGCTAGGTTAAACAAGTCGAAGAGTACATGGCATATCGGAAGTTACCACGAGAGATGCGACAAAGGATTACGGAATATTTTGAGCATCGCTACCAAGGTAAATTCTTCGACGAGGAATGTATTTTAGGAGAATTGAGTGAAAAACTGCGCGAAGATGTCATAAACTACAACTGCCGATCGCTTGTTGCCTCCGTGCCTTTCTTTGCAAATGCCGACTCCAACTTTGTATCGGATGTGGTCACAAAACTAAGATATGAAGTATTTCAGCCGGGTATGTTGGATAAAGGACAACTTACATATTATCATATCATACTGTTTTACTAATTTTCAAATCTGTGCAGGTGATATTATTATCAAAGAAGGTACTATCGGCTCGAAGATGTACTTTATCCAGGAGGGTATAGTGGATATTGTGATGGCAAATGGAGAAGTTGCAACATCTCTAAGTGATGGTTCCTATTTTGGCGAAATATGTTTGCTAACAAATGCACGGCGTGTGGCAAGTGTACGCGCCGAAACGTATTGCAATCTGTTTTCGCTCAGTGTTGATCATTTCAATGCAGTATTGGATCAGTATCCTTTAATGAGAAGGACCATGGAATCGGTTGCAGCCGAGAGGTACGTATTTAAAATCTTAACTAGTGGGGCGCATGGCATTGTGCCTTAAGGGGGTTGTTCTTTTTTTGTTACAAAAAATGCAAGCTATTTGTTTTTGTTTTTTCTCGAAATGTATTTATCATAGAGACATGCGGTTTTCTTTAAACAAAAATTACAAAATCATGGAATATTACGTGATATTCTTCTTTTTTTTTGCGCCGTCATTTTTTAACCAGGGGGCGCCAAAGTCGGTCTTGCAAAATCGATCTCTTTTGCGGTGCCACAGATAAATCCGTTGCGCATCGCCCGAAACAAAAAAAAAAGAAATTACGTTGAAGAAGAAGTTTGTTTCCAGTCCCCCTACCAAAATGAAAGAAAAAAAGCAAGAAGGAAAAAAATGGCAGCTATTTAAAAAAAAAAGTGTCAAAAAAGGCCTTTTTTTGGGGCGAGAAGCTTCGCAAAATTTTTTTGCGTAATGTTATCAAGTTGTTTGAGGTAGGGGGACTCGGTATTGCAGTGGTGAACAAATTAAAAAAAAATGCAAGTCGATCCGACTTGTAGTTTTTGTTTAATTTGTGGCACCGCATTGAAAAAAGTCAATTTGAGAAAAACGTATTTAAAGTTCTTGATATAATGTACTGAATACACCATTTAATTTAATGTACTAAATACACCATGGTGTTCAAAGATGCTCACACATTAAAAAGGTCATGTGCATGAGGTATTATAATAAAAAAGAGGAATCTGGCATACAATAGCTCGCGGAGCGATAAAAAAACGCTTTCAGAGGATCATACATATAGAGATATATATATCTATAACTTCGTCAAAAAAATAGATATTGAGATGATTTTTTTTTTTGAAATGATTCTAAGGTTTTTATCTTTCATAATATCAAAAAATCTCAAAACCGAAACAAAGTAAAATAAAAAAAGAACAACCCCCTTAAAGCAAATTGCTTGAACTTCCCGTACCAAAATTTTTTTTTTAAAAAGATTAACATTTTTGAAAAAAAATTACTCTGAAAAAATAGATTTTTGAGAAACTATAAATTTTTGACAAAAATTTACTTTTTTTGAAAAAAAAAGACTTTTTGAAGAAAATTGTATTTTGAAATATTTTGGAAATTCTGAACTTTTTTTCAAAACAATCGTACTGCTTTAACTGCATAGAGACGAAATATCGAAGCGGGTAAGCGCCGCGCCGCCGTCTAACCGATAACCATTGGTACGGAACCCATAGGAACATAAACAAAATTTATACTTATTGTTAAAACCTCTATAGAATATCTGATTATTTGATGTGCATATGTCTAATGATCATTTGACCGCCAGATGGCATTTGTTTTTTTACTTTTTTTACTAGATCTCCGAAACCGCTAAACTTGCCTTCATGAAAATTTGATCAGTTCTTCATTTTGTTAATACAAGTAAAATGTTTTTTGAATTATTCAAATCGGACGCTCCGTTCTCTTAAAAACTGAGTTGCCGTTTTTAGCACTTTTTGCTCCATATCTTCGAAACGGCTAGACCTGCCTTCGCCAAAAGCTAATCAGCACGTCGCCTCATCAATACGAATCGAATGTTTTTTGAATTATTCAAATCGCTTCATCCGTGTTCTCGAAATCGTCGACGAAAATTTGTATCCGAACACACATACACACACGCGCACACACGCACACACATATACACACACACACATACATCCATTTTTTCTAATGCATGCCAAAATATTCAGAAACCTCTAAAAATGTAAAGATATATAAAAATTTTCATTTTCGATTTTTTTGCGATTACTATAACTTACCCTACGGGAAGTTAATAAGTCATTTGGTGGTCAAAAATGATCATTAGACATATGTACATCAAATTATCAGATATTTTATAGAGATTTTAAAAATGTGTACACATTTTGTGTCATTTTTTTTGGTTGCGTACCAAGATTTTTAATTTTAAAGTTCACTTTATATGGTTTAAACAAATATCCTCGACATTTTCGACAGTATGGAATAACTTATTTGAATGATTAGAAAACAACATCCGGTTCGTACTCGATCGCGAGGCATTTTTGCAAAACCAGACGTTCCATTTCGAAGGTATGGAGTGCAAAGGATGTAAAAACGGTCAAGCAGTTTTTAAGAGAACGGATCATCCAATCAGATTAATTCAAAAAACATTGTGCTTGTGTAGACGGTGTGAGAAAAATGCTTTACAGAAAATTTTGTATTTTGAAAATTTTTCAAAAAAAATCAAAATATTCAAAAAAAAATCAAAATATTCAAAAAAAAATCAAAATTACCAAAAAAATTAAAAAAAATTGAACAATTTTTTTGTAAACATACATAAATTAATAAGCACTTACAAATTCACAGTATTTATAATAAATGATATATTCGAAAATATTTAAAACAATTGTAATTAATTATTGAATAATTTCCATTGATCATTGTATACTTTCATTTCTCGAATGTATAATTACGATACGGGAAGTTTCAGCAATTTGCCTTAAGGCACTATGCCATGCACCACTAGTTATTTATCGGATCAATATTTTAATTGTATCTTATTTCAGATTGAACAAGATTGGTAAAAATCCAAACCTGGTCGCGCACCGCGAGGAGGATCAAGGTAGTGAAAGCAAGACCATATCCGCAGTAGTAAATGCTTTAGCAGCAGAGGCGGACAATGTTGACCGTAGTGTAGATTCTGTAAATTTAGCCGGCATAAGTCCTGCAGCACGTAGCTTACATCAATTAGGAAAAACTCTGCAGAAACTAAGTCTACCGAGGCCTAAGTCAGGTGAGATAAATTTATCTACTTAGCATGTATCAACCTAACAATATAAAATTATAACAGCTTTTTTTAAATCTCGTATGATTTTGATGTGAAGAGCTTATTTACGGTCATTGAACATTTGTCAAAACATTTCCAAAGGCAAGCAAAATCAGCTCATAAACTTATAGAATAATGAAACATTCTGACGGAATTCATAGAATTATAATAAAAACAACATAACATATCGATAATATATTTTTGTAGAATTCTTCATCTTTTATAAACAATTTATAAGTAACTATCTTTGTTGTTTAGCTTATATATATACGTATAGCTTTGCTACTACGAATTTTAGCAGGAAAATGTGCTTAAATGTGATTATTGTAGCTAGTTTTTTTTCATGTGGTAGTAAAGGTCTGTTTCAGATATCATTAGCACTTGTAATACACAGTGAAAATAACACGTATCAAATGAATAACTATAGATCTATGTTCAGTAGATTTCGCAGCAAATTCATAGTTCATTACAGAAATATGTTGTTGATATTCTAGTAAACTTTATCTGTTACCTTTCACCTCATAAAAGGAGGCTAGGGAGAAAATGTATTTAATAAATTTTGATTATTTTTATGCTTTATAAAAATAACAGTATATCTTTATACAACAGTTAAATAACGTATATTATACTAAAAATTATATTCGGGCATCGTAAAGTAAACAACGGTAAACCAGACTATTGGCTAACCAGATTGACGAGTATACTCGTCAGGAAGACGTACTTTTTTTTAACTCTGTTTTATTTAGCAATCAGAAATACATAAAGATTCCTATGAGCTAAATTGACAATATTTAAGAGCGATGTCTAAGAAGAATCCCAAGGAGATCTTTTAAGTTAAACAATTAATATGATAATATTATATTAGAGCTAATCTAAGACTAAGTATAAAGGCCAGTGTCGTTTCAATTTCGTTATGCCTAAAGGTTGAGTAATGTCAACTATTGATGGGTTCGAATGTGAGTCCAGTTTGCGTTCGTATTTTTCCTTAACTTTTTTGAACATTAATTGCACCATTTTCATGTTAAGGTCGCTGTGAATGATTTCATTCAGATAACGGACCTGCATACTTCTGTTTACTGAGTCGTCCTGCCCAATGACAATACTACTATATACTATACATGCCCAATAAGGACAAAAAAAAATTTCAATATTCTTCAAGATCCCATTGAAAAACGCTTGTTGCAATTTACACCTGTTACAACATCCCTAGACCCTAGAAAAGATGTGAATATCAGTAAAAAATTAAGGGGCCTATTCTGCCGTGAAATAGACCTATGTTTTCATATAAAGCAGTACTAAAAACTGTCAAAATCCTATGTGGTTACTGTGTAGTCGGGCGTTTTAGATAGAAAACCTGACCTAGAAAACGCAAAAATGTCAAAAAAGCGATGTTATCATAACTGCATTTTTGAGATATGAGTTGATAACATATGGGTGATGTTGTATTTTATGGAATTTTGACAGTATTTAGTAGAATTTTGTATGAAAACTGGAATTGAACATAGCATTGCCATAATATTGGTCTATTTTACTGCAGAATCAACCCATAAATCTTATAAAATAAATCCATCTTTTTTATTCGATATCTTACCAACGCAACTTATTCTGTGATTGACGAGTAAGCTCGTCCTGACTCGATTGTGACAACATAAAACTGTGCGCACTTTTAAATAAAGCCAAGAGTGAACTGAATAAAATAGTATCGTTAAACAGTACGATACTTTGGACTTTTAGTGGACCTTGTTAAACTTTGCTCTTAAGCCGGCAACAGACGTTCCTGTATACATATGCAACTGTATGAATGCGCAACCAGGCGTATTTTCACAGTGCCCACAGACGACTCGTGTGTATGTTCAAGTGTTTGCGCAAACATATCAAACATGTGAACTAAGAAATGTCTGCACATAACCTAAAAATATATCTTTGCAATAATTTTTATTAATTGCAGCATCAGAAGAGAATTCAAAGAGTTCAGAGGGCCAATTGAAATACTTTCAAAAGTTGATAACTTCATAAATTTGAATTATGTATTTGCTACAAAGTAAAATAAAAACGCGACATGTGCTGCCACATGATTAAAAAAATAGAGAATTGAAAAAGAGTGCGCTTAAGGTTCACATGCGATTGAAGTAAAACTTAATTGCTACTGTACAAGATGGCCTTTAAGTTAAAATAAATACATCATATAACAATTTTGAATAATGCTTATTAGTAATATGGTTACACTCGTGATGCACACATTTATTAGTGTCAACCATTATACACATTTATATAATGATAAATTATAAATTATATATTTATAATAGCATTAAAAATATCTATAATATTTAAAAACAATAATGTAATTAAAGTCATACTTCAAATATGAAATGATCGTTTTGTCATTGTAATTAGCATTTAGAAAGGAAGTTTCATTAGAGGAATGAAGTAATTGCTGTTTAATAACTTCTACAATATTCGTTCACATAGTGGATTATGTTAAACAACGCCTTAACAAATATTGTTTTTGCAACTTCACTCATCATGTAATAATTGTGTTTGAACAACTTCATGTAATTAAAATTTACATTGACTGATGGTGTTTTTTTTTTACTTTTTTGCTGGCGATATAATCTCATTCTTTGAACAGATGTAATATCTGTTTTGCCTAAAAAATATTTTCTATTTCAATAACTTCAAAGATTTATAGAAATTACTACCATGTAACTTTAAAATGTTATCTATGCCGATTTCCTTGTCGATATCGGTACGCATACAACGTTCATGCCGGTACGCATACAACGACAGATCTCTATTCACATACGCGACGACTGATCACATTCGGCCCGTATAGAAATGATATCATCGAGAGCGAATGACGAATCACTGGCACTCGACTCTTATCTTATCTTATCTGCCGTAACGCACTTCCGTTGTATTTGTACGGATTTACACCCTAGTCTCGCCCAAAAAATTTTTACTTCAGTAATCTAAAGGGCTCATCTCTACTCGCTTGTACCAATCTCTCAAGTTGCGCAAAAAACATCCAACACACATCACAGAATACATCACAGTATCGGCTTGCTTTAGGATCATTTTCTTTCATTATCATTTCGATTGGATTGTAGTGCATGAAGTTGCCATCATTATCATCCCTAGTTTCATTTCCTGGTATCGTTAATAATTGTAAAATTTGTCGACAGAGAACAACTTTACATGTCAAGACATCGCGCTGTCGCGCAAGGATGGACACAACGGTAGACCTGGTTTCCATAAGTCGGACACATTAAACAGTCGGGAGTCCAGTTTCCGGCAATGACGTCACACGAACTAAATTATAGATCGATTGACTTCCTGACAATGAAAATTGAGCAGCAATCAATATTAGTTTTGTTTTCCCGCATACAATTGCCAATTCCTAAACAAAGCAAAACAATATATGCAAACGGACTAATGTATTTATTTCAAACTGTGAGATAAATAAAAATTCCGGCTGATTGTATGTGCATACGTGTCTAATTATATTAGCTATTATTGATAAAATTATATTAGCTGTATCTGAATATATTATATAAGTATTACTAGATAGAAAGACGTTTTTATACTGACCACATTAATTGAGGATGGAATAAATGCCGCATTGCCCATTTCTTCACTGCACAAAATATACATCCGTTTATAGTGGAAGCATATTTCAAAGAGAGCTTTTACCTATTAGCTTTATATTAATTGACATTTATCCCATCTGACGAGAGAGAGAGTGTTAGAAAATCAATTTTGTTGAATTATATATAGTAGCAATTGACCCGTGTTCCGTGCCGATGATTTATTGTAACGGCAACATTGTCCGTCGGGCCATTTGACCTAATATACTAGCTTTCAAGCAATATTACAAAGAGCCTTCGAGATTATACATATTGTGGCCTAGAAACAGATATCTCATCTAATATATAGACCAAGTATTTTTTAATAGTTTTTAAATTGTGAGGCATCATTGAATAGAGTTCAACAATAATTGTGTTAGTTATTAAATTATACTATAATTTGTACTTATGTAGATCATACTTTATAACTATGCTAAGGTGACCAGATTTTGCCAAAGGGACAAAACTTTGATGTAATATATCATATTTTATCAGTCTTTACCTTCAAGACTTTTTTGTGATGCACATTACATCCAATTTTATCTTTGTTTTCAATTGTTGGTAAAAAATACATATCTCTTAATAGAAAAAAAATTATTACTTTTCACACATATGAAGTTAAATACTAAATATATAATTTTTATATTTTGTTATTATTTGATAAATCCTGTCGATTTAATAGATTTTTTGTTCCCTTATTTTATTATTTAAATGTGCCACAAAAAAAGAATATATGGAATATACAAAAGACATTACAAAAGAAATGAAAAGCAAAAAGCAAATTATAATTTCTTTGCTATTGTTTATAATTCTATTTTTAAAAGCCATAAACTTTTCACTTATCTTTATCTACTCAGGATTTTGGTCAAATTGTTAAAAATTTAAACTGTTCCATCAAATATGAACTTTACATCATCTGGTCATCTTACCTTATATACGCATTGTGAAAAAATATGATATTATAATGAATTGACTCGTAACTAAATTTAGATATCAAAGCATACGATCAAATTATGAAGTGATAACGACACGGCACGGAATTTTCAGTGCACGAGTTCGACTCACACTTTATATTATATTCATATGACGGAAATTTTCTGCGATAAATAAAATATAGTATTACACTGCTCTTAAGAATGCTACGTAAAATGCATAGCTAAATATTTTTATTTCTGCCGTGATATAAAAGGTGTTTTTAGATTTTTAAAGACGGTGGAAAGGAAGACATGATAAATTTTTGGAAAATGGTGGCAAAACCGAGCCCTTGAAATGAAAAAAAAAACAAAACACGTCTTGGTGGCCATATTTATTTGCGACTTTTCGAACTATTAGTTACTTGCCTTTATCAGGCTTTTTGTTAAGAACAAAATACATAGATACCACTATGAGCAATATTATGAGAAAATGTACTTATAGTGAAAAATTTAAACAAAAATTATATAAAATTCTAACAAAAATATGCAAAAATGTGCTTTGTTTCTCAGAAAATTTACACAGAGTTTTAAATTCAAATCCTTGAATTTTTTATCAATGAGTATCTTACACTTTTTTTCTACAAACAAAAATACAGGAATAATAGAAATATATGAATATATATATATATATATATATATATATATATATATATATTAGGGTGATCTTTAATATGAATTCAAATTGATAAAAAACAATTCTTTAAAATATTTAGCTTTTAATATTAACTTTAAGATAGTCCTCACTCCAATCGAAGTTTCTTATGAAAATAATATGGGTAAAATTCTATTTCTTTTTTAGAATTTTATAACTTAGCGACAAGTGAATCAAAATTTTGAGAATGACATTGGATTTGCTTATTTTGATCATGAATAAAAAAATTGCAACAAAAATTTGATATATTTCATAAAATAAATATTTACTTAGGAAGAAGAACCAAGAAGCTTTGGTTGGAGTGCGGATTATCTTAAAGTTAATATTAAGACTTGAAACTTAATTAATTAATTTTTATATCAATATGGAAGCATTTGATACCCTGGGAGCAAAGAAATTCGGTAATATCGAAAATATCAATATTAAGGATCACTCTCAATATATCCATACAATTATTTAAGAAACAAAATTAAGTAATATTGATTAAACGTTCTGATACTCAATTTGACTTACCATCAGTTAAAAATAAACTTTAATTAATAAAAATCGTATGCATATACTGGTTAAAATTCATGATTTTTAATTCTAATTTTTATCAATCAGAATCGAATTCAAAGTAAAAATCTTAGACTTTTGATTAAATAAGAAAAGGCGTGAAAAGTCAGTTCAGAATATAGATATTGAAATTGGGCAACAAGGTACATATATCTTTAAACAAAGTAATTTCTGAATGCCTTTTGACCGTAGTTAAATTTCTAAAAACCAGCTAATAATTATGATCATAGTCTGTAATATAAACAATTGAATTTTATCAAAAACTGAACAAAATTTTAGAATGACGAACAAAACACTTCATGAATATATTTTTGTAAATTATCAATTTAACGTAGACTTGAACGCCTAATTTAATCAAACAAAGCTTTGATAATTTAGAACAAATTAATTATTTATTTATAACATATTATAGGCAATGAACTCATACTTTTGTACAAATTGATGATGACACATTTTATAGTCTTAATCTAATATATTTTTATTATTATTAAGTCTAACAATGTACAGTATGAAGAACTTGTCTTTAATTATAATTTAGCGCAATAGTTATTAATAATTAGTGAATGCCTAGCGTAATTTATTTTAGGTAACAATTTAGTCAATTTAGATTTGTTAGCATTCGTAATGTAAATATTAAATGAATAAGCATCATTTTATAATAAAATACATTAATCATTTTTGCTTTGTATAGCATTATATATATATATATATATATATATATATATATATTTATATATCCATTAGTATTTAAATATGATTACAAATTTCTTTTATAAAAATAATTTCTTAATTATTATATACTAAGTTGATATAATTATTTTTCGAATTTGGATATACGATAAGTGATCAAGCTTAGGCTTTTTGTAAAATACGATCAATTCGTCTTTTTAAATTAAATTTAAGTTACAAATTACCAATTGATAATATTCAAAAATACATTGTGAATAAACTAAATGGAGATAACGATAAACTATACTAAATTTTTCTTTTTGTAATTTTGTTCCGAAGAACTTAACACAGTTTAATGATATAATATTTTTTAGGTGATTTAAATTTTAAAGTGGGTTAAAACATAGTACTTGAGTATTTGTTAAATGATTTGCAGTCATTGACCAAATAAAGCTACAGATTGAATGGCTACTGTAATATAAAAGCCTATGTTGTTTATTACAAATAACCAGTCGAATTTTGTACTCAATTCATTCTAGATTGAATATTATAACTTCAATTACATTTTGTTTAGCATCAATAGCACATAAAATTTTATTTTAAAATGTTTGCATTTACTTCATACAAATTTTTAAGACGAATTGATAGTATTTTGGATAGTCCTCTGACTTGACGTGATGTTGACTCTTCGAGCAGACATTTCCTCAGACCAAAAACGTAGAATGAGAATATTTCGGTATAAGATTAGAAAAAAAATTCTGTCACTGGGAATATAATTAAGTTGATATATGTAAATCATGAGAATGTAACTTTTGCTAAAAAACTTAATTTCTCTAACATCAAATCTATTACTGTTCTAAAATTTCCGAGTCTAACAAAAGTGGATAGTTGGTGTCACATCAAGTTTGTTGGATTTTTATCAAATTTAAAACTACCTGACAGATTCGTAGTTTAAAATGTCTTGAGCGTGCTACGATTGTTTTCAAGTACTTTTTTGGTACATTTTTGTATATTTTATGATTTATACAGATATACTCAAATGGTCGAGCAATAATAATAGTGATAATTGATGAGGTGATTAAAAATATTTTTTTGGTACAGAGCTTGAGAACGATCCGATGCACGAAATGTCTAATGAATATTATAAAAAAACATAGCCTTACATTACTGAACTGCGCATTTCCTACAAAAAAATGTATATGGTCAAAATCACTAATGATGAAATTTTTTGGACAAATAAGTACATTCATGTGTAAATAATATCTAAACCTGCAAATCACGGAATCATTTTTAAAGTAACTTAACACCAAACGTATGTTGTCCAAAAAAACCTGATTTGCTTTTTCATTTACCAGATACTACAATTATTCACCTTAGTGATTTTGACTTGTTTCTGATATATCGTCTTAACAAATGACGAAAGTTCTAAAATCTATCAAATGATCCTGCTCTACTTTTTTCCCCATGAGAGGCAATTGTAGATTGTAGATCTATCAAAAATTGGAATTAAGAAGTTAGATTAAGAGTTAGTTACGTTAGATTAGTAGAAGGCATGGATAAGGTAATTAACAGTTGAACATGATTAAGATAATTAACAGTTTTGGAGATCGAATGCGCTGTCCAGTGATACAATTCTGTGTATTAGAATCATTCGGAACTACGAATAAAAGGCCTATTCTTGGATAAACTTGCTCTCTTATCTTACAAGGAGAACCTCACTAGTTAGTACCCCTGGGATTTGATAAAACTACTCATGGTGAAGTTGATAGTGAAAACGATTTTTTTTAAATATTAGAGTCCTATGAGAAGTGTTTTAATTCTAAAAATTAATTACAGTTGAGATAAATAATATGCGCAATATACGTACGTCGGGCCGTCGTGTCATTTTTTCGTAATTTATTGTTGAAAACAATTAAATAAATTTATTACATTTATACAATTACAGATATCATAAGCTTCTTTAGATTTCGAATATTAATTGAATATCGCGTTAATTAGTTTTTAGTGAAAGCTCAAACTTTAGTTTCGAAATAAATAACTTAAAATTTTATCTAAAAACCAAAGTCTCAATTCTCAAGTGGATTATTTACATATATCAGAAAGTTCATGCAACTTGCTTTAAGGGGTTATATACAGTTAGAATGCCGAAAAAAGCGATTTATTGAGATTTTTTCTGAAAAAACTGTTCAATTTATTGATACAAAAATTTATACACTTATAAAAGCATCTTGTTATTATATTTTAAAAATAATTGCAAGCGAAAATATTTATTTAAAAAAAGTTATAGCAGATCTCCGGAAGCACCTCTCGAAAAACACGTTTTGCGGTGACCACTCTATCTCTAATCTAAATCATCTGAAATTAAAAAAAAAAACAAAAATATTTCATTAAAGTAATGGTAAATCTAGTAATTATTCGAAGAATTTAGCAAAATAATAATTTTTGACAAAATGGCGGCTTCTTAAAAAAATCGTTTTTTGGCGAAATTTTAACCTTAAATTGTTTATAAAAATAAAAGTATTTATCGGATCGCGAAAATCTTTGATTAACCACTAAAAAATATATTCTATGCAAATCCTATTATTATAAATTATTATAAGACTGTTCAAAATGTTTATAATATGAAAATATATGGGTCTCTTATATGGGTCTGAAATAGACGACTCCATGTAGGTTGCAAAAAAAATCTATCCCGTGTAATTTGCTTTGCAAACTTGAAACCAAGAAATGGTGTTTTTAAAATCGGTGAC